TCTCTCTCTCTCTCTCTCTCTCTCTCTCTCTCTCTCTCTCTCTCTCTCTATCTCTCTCTCTCTCTCTATCTCTATCTCTATCTCTATCTCTATCTCTATCTCTATCTCTATCTCTATCTCTATCTCTATCTCTCTCTCTCCAACTTTCAAATTAGATGTGAACTCTCAGCTAATGTTCCAGCACCATGCCTGCCTGCCTGCTGCCACGCTTCCAGCCATGATGATCATGGACTAACCCTCTGAAACTGTAAGCAAGCCCCAATTAAATGCTTTCTTCTAATGTTGCCTTGGTCATGGTGTCTCTACATTGCAATAGTATAGTAACTAAGACGCCAAGTGTCAGCCCAGAAGGGAACCCAGAGCTGCGGGCTCTTAGAGCTTGCTACATGGATGTACCCTTTCTCTAGGATGGATACTGTCATGAGTCCCTTCTGCTGCATAGAGTCTGCACGGCTTTAGTACAAGTTAATGCTGGATGGCAACCCAGACCAAGGATGGTGCAAGGAAGCGCCCACATTCCTGAGCAGGCATCTACCCCCTCCAGGACCAGGGCCCTTGGGAAAGAATGCTGATCCTCAGGCCTCCCCACAGGCCTGGGCTCACCATTTTTGCAGAAGGCAGCACAGAGAACTTCCAACCTCCCTAGACTATGTGAGACAGAGCCCCTGATCTAAAAAAAAAAAAGGAACTGAGAGGCCTCCTCACCTTCACCATCTGCCTCCACAGAGGCTGCCAAGGACGCAACAGAAGCAAGTGAGTCCACTCAATCTTTAAGTGAGGGTCAGGGAGCATGGAGGAAGGAAACATTTTAGAAGGTGTATGCCAGGGCGAATAGGAATGAAATCCATGTGCCAACATGGGAAGGTTGAATTCCTGTCTTATGCAAAACAAAGGTTAGCATGAGGGCCGGGCTGGTTGGTAAGGTCCTGGTCACCTGTGAGCAGGAGCAGCCTAAGGTTAGGCTGAGAAGCAAATGAGCTAATAATCCAAAATGCTGGGAACAACACTCGGTACACAATAAGCATTTCACAACCCCGAACCGCTGACTGCTGATATTAAAAACCTCCCTGGCAGCAGCCTGGCAGTTTGGATGGAAGCAAACCTTCCTTCCGGCATCATCTCATCGCCAGGGAACCACAGGAGCTGGTTTGCAAAGACATCCTCACAGCCAGGGAGCCTCAGCCAGTAAACACTCCCTCCTGTCCCAGGACTTTCTTCCCTTTGCTTAGTGATGGTGGGGATGTCTTCCTCACAGGGTTCCCATTAGGATCAAGTGAAAAGGATCCATAGGACATGACTAGCACCAGGCCCAGCACCTGGCAAGTGACAGCCACTGTTAACCGCTTTGGGGGCAGTTGGGGTCAGTGCTAGGGAATTATATAATGAGGTGTGATGGGGCCTCCAGTCTGCACCCACGATGGCCACGAGGCTTGCTTCTGTTTGGGGACCCACACAAGGCTTCCCTGTTGGGAAGGGGGCTCAGTATTCACCCGAGAACTTGCGAAGATGGAATCAGAGTGTCAGAGGAGGCCTGTCTATAAATCTCACCATCAGCACTTCCCCTGGAGATGGCCCTCGGACAGATTAATAAGCATCACGACCTCCGGGAGGCGAGGACAGCCTCAGTGCATTGGCGGCAAGCACTTAAGCTCTTGGCCAGCATCACGGGGTCTGGTGGTAAAACTTAAGGTATGACACAAGGCCGGAAGGTAACCCAGAAGCTCAAAGCACCTCCGGTCGCCCCACCCCCAATTTGTTGCCATTCATTTGTTTTGAACGGCAGCTCACTTTGTAATTCGGTCTGACCAGGAACCCACTACACAACCCAGGCTGGCCTCAAACTCTCAACAGCCCTCTGACCTCCCCTCAGGCTCTCAAGTGCCGGGATGCACAAGCATCCACTTCTACCTACTCACCTGCTCCAGGCCCCACCTTGGCCATGACGGTCCCAAAGAGAACCACAGGATGGAGAGAGGGTCAGGGTTCAGGGGCACCAGGGGGGCTCATTTTGTGGTGGTAGAGAGTTGGACATGCATGTTTTGCCACCTTTGAAAACAAGAATAAGATGGCAGGGCCACACCTGTCCCACCCGCTGGTCCCCAACCTGAGTGTGTTACCTCGTGGATCCCAAAGTGAGCATAGGAGTCAAAATAATAGTCCCTTGATGTCATCTCCTCGGGATTCAGCAGCTTGGACATCTTGCCCCGTCCTGGGCAGCTGGGCTGTGTGGACACGTGGTGGACACATTGCACGGACTTGGCTGGGATGACAGGCTGAGGGGGCTGAGGGGGGGCACTGCTCGCCTAAAGGGAGAGAAGGGACCCAAGTTAGCCCTGGTTAGCCCTCAAACATTTCAGATCTTCTCCCCTTCCTCCTCCCTGCTCCTCCTGTAGCCCAGCACTAATTGCCAATGACTCCTTGACCACAGGATTGACAGCAGGCTACTGACGCGCCAGACCCAGATTGACCTCAGTTCCAGATCTTACAAACTAGGTGGTCTAAACTGATCTGAGCCTCAGTTTCCATGTCTGTCAAATGGGGAAACAATATCTTCCTTTAGTGGGACCAGGAAGAAATACTCAATAAAGGGAAGGATGTGGGGGAAAATGGGAAGCCAAGAGTTGGCTCTTGAGCAGCCTTGGTTTTGATATGGCTTATCCGTGAAGGGCCACATATTGAAGGCTTACTCCTCATTTTAGTGAGGTGGGAGGTAGAGTGACCATGTCACTGGGGACATACCAGTGAAAGTAATTAACCTCATTGTCTCATGGGGATTTGATTAGTTCTCAAGAGAGGGTCTTTGAAGAGCAAGACTCTCCTCTCTCTCTCTCTCTCTCTCTCTCTCTCTCTCTCTCTCTCTCTCTCTCTCTCTCTCCAGAAAATAACACCAAAGCCCTTGAACCTTCAGAACTGTAAGCTAAAGAATTTTTTTCCTTTATAAATTACCCAGCCTTGGGTATGTTGTTACAGTAGTGGAGAGATGACTACTACATCAATTAGACAATGTCAGGCAAAGTTATTAGCCACTGTACTCTGTGCCTTAGTTACCCACCTCTAACTTGAAAATAAAATGTCCATACTTAAGATTGCACTGAAAATTAGTCAAATTAGTATTTTTTAAAGCGCCTAGAAAAAGGCTGGGCATGCAGTAAGTGTTCATTAAACCAAATCAAATATCGCAGGCGGAGATGGGGCCGAGGAAACGAAGCCCATGCACTTCTCTCACGTACCATCTCACACTAAGCTACAATCAGACTTGCCACCCTCAAATATGGGTCTCAGGTATTGTACTTTGTCAGGGCTGATGTCTCAGCCCCTAGGTTCTGATTCTCACTTTGCCTTGAACCTCAGCACCACAAGTCCCCATATTGACTGACCTCTCCCCTGAGCTCTGCCTACTACTGCTTCTCTGGGTCTCCGTCCGTCCTTCCAGCCCAGCTCTGTGTCGCCATCACGGCTACTTGCCTTTCATCCCTCAGGCTAAGGGAAGGGGGTGTGGAGGTCAGAAGTCACCCAAATGAAGCATAGCAATGCCAGAGGACTGCCTGTCTCTGGAATGTATACACCAAGATGACAGGCACAGAAAAGGCCTCAAAGAAAGATGCACGTCTTTAAAAACACCAAGACCAACAGCCAAGTGGGTTTCTCCAAAGGCTGGTCTTCTTCAGCTGGGAATCAGGGCTCCAGGATTCCGTCCTGACTCCTGGCTGTGTGACTTTGGGATTTTGTATACACCACTACATCTCTGATCCCTCCTCGATCAATACAGGGCCTAACGGAACCTCCCATGGAGCTCTTGAGATATCTCAGTGCACGAAGGGCTGTCAGGGAAGCAAGAACCCAATCCCCAGCACCCATATAAAATCCAGGCATAATCCTAACACTGAGGAGGTGGAGACAGGAGGATCCCTGGGCTTTCTGGCCAGACAGTGTAGCCTAATGGGTGAATCCCAGTTAACCAGTGAGAAATCATACCTCAAAAAAACAAAGTAGATGGTTCCTGAGGAATAACACAAGGTTGACCTCTGGGCTACAAACATATGTGCATACATATGTACATAAAATGCACAAACACACACACAGAAATCGAGAGAGAACCTTTTTGCAAGAATAGTCAAGACACTAAGGTCAGTTAGCACTAGACTTCAGCATGGTGTATATATAATAAGGGCTTCATCATTGTTGCTAGTATCATTACTATCATCTGGATCTTATGGATAATATATATATTATCCTTGTCTTGTCTTAATTTGTCCCTCCATGAGCTGGGTCAACTCAGACTTACAGTCAAGGGAAAAGGTAACCCCTGGGACAGAGCAGATGGAAATGCCATCCCTCCCTCCTATCTCAGGCACAGCCCCAAGACCACCCTGGGTCTGAGACTAGACAGGAATGAGCATCACGGGGCAAGAGGTGATGCCCTGTTCTCATGGTGCATCCGGGCTGCCGCCTCTAGGAAACAGCAAAGACTTCCCAGTTTAGCAACGCAGGCCTTTGGGTCCAAGAGAGGCCAGGCTGGCTGGCAAATGGGGCTGCCTCATCATAATGCTGCAGGTGTACCCACCCTCTGCTTGGGATGTTGGTCACGGTCTCTGGGAAGCTAAAAATAGACTGTGTCAATTGCACACTCCCGTGCAGGCTGCAGAGTCACCTCCAGAGCTGAAGACAGCTGTGCACACAGTTGACCCCAGTATTGATTCCATTTAAATACATTAAGGAGAGAAAAACTCTTAGCTGGTGCAGGCACTTGCGTGTCAAGGTCATGGGGCTCCCAGGACCCTTCAGCTGTCATTCAACTCTCAGTCCAAGGACTTGTTTTCCTTAGAACTCTCTGGCTTTTTATCCTCCACAGTCAACTTGTGAGGTAACTTCCACATGTCACACAAAGCGTGAAGCAAAGGGATGAATGGTTTGACCAAGGACAAGAGAAGGGCATTGAATAAATAGCCACAAGTCATGAGGACAAAGGAGTGATCATGGCTGATGCTTTGTCCCAAAGGCCACTCATCAGCTCAGCTCAACCTTCTGCAAAGTAGACTTGGACTCTGCCCCTAGACTGACAGGTGTGCTCTTCTCACAGTGGCCTTGAATTCACAAGCATTGAGCTACAGGAGAGTTGCTTTGAATTCTAGAGACAACTGCTGACCACCTGCTGCTGCTAGGCACTGTGTGGAAGAAATAGTCCTGGGGGGAGGGGCCCCCCAGAGACTCTGCTTTCTAGACCTTCTGCAACCTCACCAGAAGCTGCAATAAAGCGCACTCGACAAAAGAGGTTCGAACACAAAGAGGTGAATTCCCTTCAGCTGGGAGTCAAGAAATCCTAGCGGAGCGGGCCATGCCATGAGCAGGGAGCTTTGTCAATGGGTTTTGAAAGGTACGGCTGACAAGGGGGAATTCTGGGAGCAGAAAGGATAGGGGCGGGAAGGTGGTGAACTCGCTGGGGGAGAACATGCTGAGATAGCAGAAGATTCGGCTGAGAGAAGGTCATGGTCGGGCTAAGAGGGTGGCATTAAATACAGCAACCAATAGAGAGCCCTCGTGCCCTGTGTGTGCAGGGCCCCGGAGTTTGCACACCAATTTGGGGAATCGAATGTGAGCACAGAGTAGAGGAGGGGGCAAGGAGAAAAGGGTGTCCATGGAGGAATTTAAGAGACTATTTTCAAAGTCCAGTCATGAAATGATGAGTATCTGAGCCCCTGGGGTGTCGGAGGGGCTGCCTGCCAGCAGAGCACAGAAATAGAATCTATAGGGTTGGCAACTGGCGGAACATGAGGAAAGAGGGAGAAGCTGGAATCCGAGATGCCGTCCACATTTCAAGCCTGGATGAGTAGGAAAATAGTGGTGACATTAACAGAAATAAGCGAGTCAGCGGGAAGAGCAGGCTGGGGTGGGGGAAATAATGAATCTCAATTTGGATGTGCGGAGTTTGAAATGCCATCAAGCCATGTAAGAAAAGATGTCAAGCAAGCGGGTACGGAGGCAGTGCCAGTCAATAAACACCTTCAACAAGACTGAAAGGCACACCCTAACATTTGTGGCGAGGAGAGGTTAATGTGCGCTCACAGAGCGAGCGCTGACAAACCAGTAACTTCACACCCCAGCTTAATGGGGATAAAGAAGCTTCATCTGTTCATGTGCAAATAAAGACCAATGGCAAATTAACACACAGCGTAAACGTTCGGCTCCACTGGAGCTCAGATAAATTTAAAATAGAACAAAACCTTCTCTCATCCCTCAAAATGATCAATCTCTGCACTTGCAAGATTAGAAGGGGCAGGGGAAAGGAGGAAGGGGGCGAGGGGAAGGAGGAGAGGAGTGCTTTTGTACGTGTCTTGTGAAAATGTAATTAAGTTGAGACTTTTTAGAAAACAGTTTGGTAAAAATTCATTAAGCGCATCAAAAAGTGCAAATCCTTTAACCCACAACTGCTTTCTTTAACACCAGGAGAGAGCCATTTATCGCCCTAAGCATGTAGCTCTCTCCATTTCATGATGACCAAGAGACAATCTAGGGGTGGGGATTTAGCTCAGTGGTAGAGCGCTTGCCTAGCAAGCACAAGGCCCTGGGTTCGGTCCTCAGCTCTGGAAAAAAAAATCAACCAAACAAACAAAAAGAGTCAATCTAGATGCTTTACAAGTGAGCATCTTCCTGTAGAAGGCTATGCAGCCCTTAAAAATGTAGGGAAAGTCTTTAAGAACACAAAGATGAGCACAATAAGCTGCTGGTTGAGGAGGGTGCACAGGAGAATACACTGCAGTTATGTCTTCATTAAAACCTGTTCGTGCTGGTGCACGAAGAGAGGAGACCCAGGGAAGGCACCGGAATTGTCAGCGATTGTCACTGGGTATTAGGTCATGAATAATTAATTCTTTCTGGCGCCAATTTTGCAAATAGCGAGAGCTAATATTGCAAAAGAGTATGAAATGTAATTCCAGATCCCTGGAGGGAAACTGAGGCCGGGACTGTGTCTTGAGAGCCATCAGAAGGATGGGGTGGAGTAAGAGCTTGCATAGGAGAGACCCCAGTGGAAGAATGGTGCATACGCCTAGGAGAAAAGGCACAGTCACCACCCTTTGAGGACCTGGGTAAGCTTGGGGGACTTAGGGGGTTGACATGGGAACAGGGATACAGTGGAGAAGAAAGATGTGTCTTCAGACTGCCCTTCTGGGGACATGTGACCCAGGCTTTGACTTCAAGGAGGGCACTCTAAGGCAAAGCTTTCCTTCCTGCAGCCTGGCCAGGACCTTCATCTACCCAGAATGACAAGGAGCTCAGTGGGCAGCCTAGAGTCATCCCCCCAAAC